AGTGTTTGTTGGAAAAGGGTTTCAAGACAATGCGAGCCTTTCAAATTGCAGTTTCAGACACGGGTTAAGATTCGGACAAGGGTTGGCTATTATTTTTTTCCTTCCTCATTCTGTAGTTTGGCGTCTGTTGCAGAGAAGTGCTCCAAGGTCACATACATCTTCTATGTTCAAGGACATTGCCATGGAGTGTAATCTACTTTTAGTTGTGAAGAAAGTCAAAAAGCAGATGAGAAGTGTTTGCCGTCATCAGTCATTAGTGTGTTTTCCCCAAAATTAAAGAATCGACTATTTATATCGTCACTTTCCCCAGAGCACACCAATCAACTGATCGACCACCTAACCAACCAACCGCCTTTGCCTACCTGCACGTCCGCGCTGATTAAAATGAAGCGTTGCTCTTTGAAGTTAGTGCCGGATACAATGAGTTCCGTTCACCTTACATCTCACCTCGCCGAGGCACCCGGGAAAGGAGGCTTCCATCTTTTTCTCCCCCTTCATATGTGATCACACAATTGGTAGCATCTCAGTATCATGGATCTTATTTGTTTTCCTTCTTATCATGTACAATATGTATTCGAAAGTCACCTTCCTGGGGTGCTTTACACACACTCAAAAAAAATCACAACAAAACTGGAATCTTCAGCTTCTATAGTTTGCGTCGACTATGGTTTGTGTCTTATATGGTTCGTCTTTTTCATCTGCAGTTCACACCGTCTATGGTTTGCATCATCTGTGATTCGCCTTGCCGTGACACAGACTGCAAATACGTTCAGTACTCTATTAGCGTGCTCATCGGGGCAGCATGTACGGCGAGGGTGGGCAGCCGCGAATAGAGACGGCAGCCCGCGCGTTGCTCCAGCAAGATTCCCGGGATGAAAAACATGAAATAAGGTGTGAGAACTTACATTTGTGAATATTCCAGTGAAACCCCCCCCCCCCCCCGCTCATTGCAGACCCACTAAACTTGCCGTATATACCGTCAAAGCCTATAAATCATGATCACTTGAAAATCTATACTTTAGCTTGAGCGTCAACAATTAAATGCAATGGAGCGGGAGAAACACCGTATAACACCGTAGAGCAGGGGTGCCCATTACGTCGATCGTGATCAACCGGTAGATCACGGACTGGTCCCAAGTCGATCGCGAGGGGTGTCGAGGAGAAATAAAAACAAACAAGCATTTGTGTGTCTTTGTGCATGTTAGTAGTATTTTTTTGTGTTAATGTACACTGCACCCGAATCATCCTATCAATCTCATTTTCACAAAATGTATTTAAAAAATAAAATACAATAAAGCAGATAAATCTTTAACCTACGGTGACGCGTGACCTGTGTCACTGGAAGTTGTTAGCGCTCAGCAGTCTGCAATTGTAGCTTGTGATCAGAGCTGTTGCGCTATATCTTTTATCGTTATCATTATCGTCATTCAGAGTTTGTTTCGTGTACAATTCACTGAGGGCACGGGCAAAGAATAGGAATCTAGAGGGCCGGGGGAAGCATTTTAAAACGGTACCTGTGAGCTACGATAGTTAACAGGCTGCAAAAGTGCGTCGCATGCCTCTGTGTCAGGCTGTTGCTCATCATGGCATGCGTGTGTATGTGTGTGTGTGCGTGCGCGGCAACGGGTCGATCGCAGGTTGGTTGATCGAAAAGTCGATCTTTGGTCCAAAAAGGTTGGGCACCCCTCCGAGAGTGAAGGCGGCTACTTTAGCTATTTGCGCTAACTAGCAACTGTCCATGACTCGGACTCATCTACGAATGTATTCTTATCCGTTGTCTTAAAAAAACGGGACGAAGCAGACAACCCTAATTAACGCTGTCGCAAACAATTACGAAAACGGTTGACATGTAAGCGGTCCACCAGTCGTCCGCCTACAATTCCAATTAGCTGACGAGCTGCACTCCTCCTTGGTGCTGCGATTTTGTTGTTTATTTTTATTTATTTATTTTCAGCCCTTCTCCTTCGCATCTCTGTCAGGAAGCGCGGCGTCTTCAAAGGTCATCCCTCTCGCATCTCCACAAGAAATGTCAGCTGAAATTGGATTGGGGGGAAACCGCTGAGGGGAATGGAAGTGGAGGGTCTAAGTGAATTAGTAAATATATAAACAAATCAGTGTTAGCGTCACCAGAATACCAAAAGATGGAAGGTGATGAAGGCCAAGTGCTCCGGTGGAGAGGGTAGATGCTGATTCTTGAGAAAAGTAGCACAAAAAATGAATTTATTTACACAAAAAAAGTTTTGTTTCGCTCAGCATAGAGATGGAGCTCTGTAAATATAGCTCAAAATATAACCCCGAAAACACTTTATTTTAAAATAACATTACCATTAAAAATAAATGAACGGCAGATAATTTGATTTTGGAAAGAAATGCAGCAAGTTGTTGAATCCACTCAGAAGAGCAAAAAATACTTTGCGTACCTCTCTGTAAATTCCACAACAGACTAAAATTATCTGCTGCCCGACCTAGAAAGATTTTCGAACAGTCATGATGTTTCACTTCCACATACCAACCCGTGCAATCCCAACAGCTGCAGCTAGGTGTTAATATTGATGACAGCGTCACTGGCCCACAAACTGAATGCGAAATTCAACCTTCTGTTTACAGACACGTGCCCACCATGCCTCTTTAATAATTCTGTTTGGCAACTATTCCGCCGGGACGTGCTGCCTGCTACCGTAGCCTCGCCTAATTAACGTAACATGGCAACTCACTGGTATCTTTGCTTGTGCGTTGACGTTCAGCAGCAGAAGAAACATGGTCAGTGGGCTATTAGAATAGGACAGCACTCTTTTGTTGCCGTGGCAAACTATTATTGGTTGGTTTGCAACATTCCCAAACTCTCACAAACCTTTCAGTTATTAACATGGAACCAACTTTCCAAAAATATGTCTTAACTTTGAAATATCATGCATGTCAATCTTGAAAAAGATTTTTTCTCCCCCACCCTGAGGAAGCTGACATTTTTGTTGACATTTCAAAACAGCACTTGTGTGGTTTACGATTTTTTTTGCTTTTTATTTTAAAAAAAAACAAAAGACTAATAAGATGTATATTGATACATGTGGTCTATCCGCTTGGAGAGGGGAAAAAAATCATAATTGAAGAAGATGCAACCTATAAAAGACTCATGAACTGCAGAAGAAGCAAGGCTGAATTTTGTATGGTTAGTGTCACTCACCATACAAAATTCAGCCTTTGAAGATGTCAACCATAAATGACAAAAATGGTAGAAGGAAAACCAAATGAACGGCATATGCAAACATTATGTCGTACACAAACCATAGAAAATGTGAACCATAAAAGATGCAGACCATAGAAGGCAACAACTATAGGAGTTACGACTCAGTAGAAGACACACCCAAAACGACACTCAAGAAAGAAGAAAACCAGACAAAACTTGAAACCAAGAAGAGGTGACCCATAAAAGATATGAACCATAAAAGACGTTACTATTCCGTAGAATACACTTCCAAGAGAAGACATGACCCACAGAAAACCTGAACCGCAATGCACACATAGAAGAGACAACTCGAGATCCGAAGCATAGAAGGCACAAAGACGCAACGCAGAAGCACGAACCGTAGAAGACGTACTCTGTGAAAGACGCAAAGCAATAAAGAAGACCAGAATCATCGACCTGAACCGTAAAAAGGAGACGCAAACCGTAGATCATCGAGCAGAAATACGAAACAGCTGATGTCACTCGTTTCGAGGCGTACTTTGCCAGAATCAGGATCTTTGTGTCCTGCTGTATTTCTAACGTGTGTGTGTGTGTGTGTGTGTGTGTGTGTGTGTGTGTGTGTGTGTGTGTG